TCATGTATTCTTCATACTTACACTAATTGTTGTAGATGTAGCAAAAGATGTTTTCTGACTAATTCAGAGAGTCGCTTGTTAAAGAAAGAGTATTACATGCTATTTTTTCTTTGTTGAGGGGGGGGGGGGGGTGTCCCCTTTAAAAAAGAGATGACAAGTCAATATTATGGAGTGAAGAAAAAAAAAATAACATGGGTTTATATAAAGGAGAAACTGAGACTCGAACCGAGTACATTGCATTGTGAAGTGATCACTTTTATCCACAAGACCATTTTGCCTCACCGTGATAACTGGTTCGCTTTTTGTTGTTAACACTTTCTGCATGCTAATGACTTTACAAAATGTGCCGATTTACTGATTTGACGCTTTCGGGATGCATTATTAGCATCATTTTTGTAGTCCGATGTTGTCAAGATTGCCCGTATTTTTTTTCTTTCAGTTACTGATATTACTGATATAATAGTGAGGTTTTATGTTTATTTCATTTAATTTGCAAACTGCTGACTTAAACTTAAAGTGATATGACAAGAGGCCACTGCCCTCACATAGTATAATGAATAGAACACGGGTCTATTCAATTCAGTATATGCTACGAATTCTATAACAGGGCACCAATGAATAGGGAAGCTTGGCTATTCGATTCTGTTTTCAATAGCTTGCACCTGCAATTTTTGAATAGTTACGTAACAAACTACTCAGCTCTTTCTGACATGGCATCAATAATATTAGTGAATTGAAAACAAACCTGACCCTCCCTTCATTGAGTGACTTTTGTTTGGTCAAATGCGAGGATTACCAAAGAGGAGGTAATAATAGCATTCCTGACATTGCAACAATGACCGCGTTATTTTGATGCATTGTCCCTAAACCTACCGAAGAGGCTCTTTGTCCTTGTCTGGGAGGACAAGCACTTTAGACTGGGGCTGTAGTCTGATTTCAAGAAAGGAAAACAATTTCGGGACAGTTCAAAATAATGCTTGGAAATGGAAATTCAAATGATACCGTTTTAAAAACCAGAAAGATATATGATTTTAGGACAAGAATCAGAAGATTCGTAAATATTCATAATTGAATGACACACGCCCTTAAAACTAAAACAACAACAACAACAACATGATTTTTTCCGTAGAGATCAGTGGGTTGTATTTAATACTATAGGAGCAGCAGCAGCTACAGTACCGTACCCTGCCCGGTATCCGCCCGATAGGCAGTTTTTCTTAGATAACTTTTCTGAAAATGAATTATACAGGCGCTAATGTATATCAATTTGTAGCCGAAATTCTAGCGAATCCAACCATGCCATTCTTATGCCTGAAATCGTAAGCAATTGTCCGTAGTGCGCCGTCTGCGTGAGGCATTTTCCTTGCCTATTTCCGCCTAGACCTGCCCTAATTCGTCCCGATGGTGGACGCGCATCAAAAGTATAGAAAAGAGAGACATCTCGGGTAAACGTTAGGCCAAATAAAATTGCTTCCCAGTAGAATTGATCTACATGATATTTTGATAATTGATATTTCTTTCTTTATTTCTTCTTTTGCCTCTGTAGGCCTACTAATAATGTCTGTTCACTGTTATTCACCACTTTCTGATCTGGGAAAATTCTGTAACTGCCTTTCCGGGAAAATCCTGTGACTTGTCTTTAATGTTTTAATAATGGTAATCAGACAAATCTGACTAAAGTCACTTAACATATCGCTAATCATTTTTAAATTAACCACTAGGGTGAAAGAATTTAATTTAAAAAAAAACTATAACCACTATCAAAGTGAACATATTGTAAAAGAAAGTAATGGTGCTTCATTTTTATTTATTTTTAAATGCAAACTATTCTCGACATCTCTCAAATCTTGATTCAAAAATAAATTAGCGTATATTTTTAGGCATAATAATTGGTTGGAAAAAGCATCTAGCAATATTGTCATTAGAATTATCATCATCGCCGACATCGTCTAAATCATCATCATTACAATTTTAGGGTATATAGGTCTATAACGCAAATGTGGTTTCCTTTTTGATTATTTGTTTAAGACTTCAAGTTGTTGTGTTTTTTGTTTTCCACTTGTTCTAAATTATGCAGTATTATATTTTGATAATGCATTCAATAATAATTATAGCCAACTTGAAAGACAAAACTTTCCGAAATGATCTTAAAAACGAAGTTGTCGATTCACTTCCATAGAAAGTCAGTGTTTTTTTTTTGCAAAATAATGTAGTATAATAATTAATGCAAAAGGAGTGGTGGTAGGGGGGGGGGGGTCACCAGTCACGTTTTTGCCACTTCAACATCCAAAGAGGGTTGAAAGCTATTGTATAAGTATTTTGTTGACATTACCGAGAACAACTCAAATCATGTCCTGCAATGTATTGCCCTTCTCTAAATTTGGCACTATACCCCCTCCCCCACATCTTCTACATAATTCATCTATTTATTTATTCATTCAATATTCATTCATTTTATTGCCGAGAGATATTAGTGTGATGGATAGAGATTAAAAAATGTTCACCTTTTATTCGCCATAAAACTTTAGCAAACTAACAACGTATATAAGAATTACCCTAGCCATTTGAAAGGCTGACAGGCGTATAGGCCCTTGTGAAATGTATCATTTATAGTTTTATACTACTCTTTCGATAGCCATTCATATAGGTTTATTTCACATAAAACAACATTTATTTTATTCACAGTCAGTTGACGGAAATTTGATAGCAGCGAAAATGTCATGGTCCGTGTTGGCAAAAATATATAACACACAAACATTTGAAAAAAGATATTATAGCCTAATGTATAGAAGCACTAAGAAAAAGGATGTAAAAGTGAAGAGGGAGACTAAAAGAAAAATCGGGGAAAGGAGGGGTGTAATCGAAGAAAATTGAGGGAATAAATTAAACTAAATTAATTAAAACAAAAACTAATACATCAATCCTCTGCCTGCATCCTGTATCGTATCAGAAACAAGCACTCTTTTCGCTACAAAGCCACGACGCTGGATTGAAAGGCGACACAAGCTTCAGCGACATAGAACATAAATACAAACTTTTTGCAAATATACCAAACCTGGCAACTTTTTAAAAGCCGGACTTAGTTGTCATCGGGATCACTTTTGGAGAACCGAACTTCAAGCATTTTTTGCAACATTAATCAATCATATATAATTTTGTCACAAAATTTAACTGCATGATTATCACATTACCACATCGTTACCAGAAATTGTCGGTTGCTCGATCGAACGAACGGCCAAACATCATTGCAACATTCTTCGGGGGGGGGGGGGGTTCAATCTCAGCCTCCCACCTTATTCGCCTACCATTACCCCCCGGAAAACTACCCCCAAAGATAATTACCCCTAAGGACAATTACCGTGCCTCGACGAGCTACCCCCGGAAAAGAGTCCCCCCCCCCCCCACCCCCTGAAACTTAACCCCTATATAGGACAATGCCCCCCTGGGACAACCAAGGACAACCGCCCCGAGGACTACCCCCTGTTCAGTATGAACAGGGGGAAGTCAACCTCGATAATTAGTTGGGTAATTTTTAGGGGGAGATCATTAATTTCAGGGGGTGGTAATTGTCCTCTGGGGGTTTAATTGTCCACGGGGGGGGGGGGGGGGTAATAATTGTCCTAGAGGGTAATTTTTCGGGGGGGAGTAACTTCCTCGGGGTGGTTGTCCTCGGAGGGGGGGGGGGGGGGGGTAATCGTCCTTGGGGTAATTATTGTACCGCTAATTGGCCGGGGGTGACATGCCCAAGGGGTAATTGACCTAGAACCTTCAAAGGGCAATAAATAAACAGCTACTCAATTTACACTGAATCTTATTTTCTGGTTGTAAACTCAACAAAAAATGAATGGCCACCTCTAAATGATTATTTTGTAGACCATGCAAGTGAGCCTGCAAAATGTTAAGTTTAGTAGCACGGTTATGATTGCTCATCAAAAAGTGAAACAACATTCCGTCTGGCAGATTTTGACAACTGCATGGCTGTAATACCAGTAAAGAGTTTTATGCCTGGTGACCATGTTATCTCATTTATGATCTTTCTTTTATTTGCAAAATGTAGGTCAACATATACGGGGGGGGGGGGGGGGGGGGGGTGAATTCCCAATTTACAAACTGTTTATAGGTCGAATGTAGTTTTATAGTATTTGTGTATTCTTCACCTTCTTCATACTCTCGAGTTGCGATTTTATGGAGTAAACCGAGTGTTTTATCATGGAAAAAAGACAATGAAGTGTGCACTTTCAAAAAACCAACCGCAGACCTAAAAACACACAAATAGACTAAAAAACCACGGGCAGATAACCTTTTCTCTGTTAGAGCATAAACAACGCACGGTACATACACTGAACTAGCGCGTGTGTTTGAGTGGGCGGAAATAGGGCAGGGGCATCACAGGGCGACATGGCCGAGTTCAAGCCTCGATAACTTTTTTATAAATAATAATTTTCGCAAGAAATTTGCTCAGGTAAAACATCAGGAATTTAAACTTCCATATCTCTTTAAACAAAAGTAAAATTTCCACCATATTTTTTTCCTGATCGTTTTGAATAGGAACTTGATGTTTTTTAAAAAGGTTGATTCACACCTAAATAAGCGCATAGCTGACTGCTGCACAGTGACGTCATTCGCGTATCTCCGTTAAATGGGCGATCGACAGTGTACCATATTTCGTGCACATGTTCCTTACAACGTGTATGCTGCTATAGGCAAGTTAGTCGCACGCCTTCATTGCGCACCGTAGAAACTCGGGCGATGGAAGACGGCCGTTGTGTCTAATAAGCCACTGGTAACAGGGGGGCGGTAACTGGGCAGGGTACGGTACGTGTGGACTAGAGTACGGACATTCGGTGCGGCAGGAGGACCATTGGTGCGAGACCTCTTCAGCACAGATTGTCCGTCAGACATTTGAGGCGCGCACGGAATGTCCGACACGGACATTCTGCGCGGATAAAATCCGCACCGATCGTCCGCTCTCGATCGATCTCTAATAGTCGGACGATCGGTGTGGGTTACATTCTACGCGGTCACACCGCCTCTAACTTTTAGGCCTAACTTAGACTAGAGTCTAGTTGTCCTTTCTTTTTAGAACCGCGGAAGAAGGAAACGTTTGAAGAATCTGCGACTGGGCTGTGTTATCAAACCTGATACTATTGTTTCACTTTTGGAAATTGTTGCCGTGAGAAATACAAAGAATGCGTAACTTTGGTGGAAGACTCGTTAACGACTTTGTAAGATGGGCGGTGTTGGTAAGATAATGGTCCCATGTATTGCATTCAATGTAGCATTATTCACTGTTAAAGATAAACTCCAGTAGATCTACTACTAGTAAAAAAAAAAAAATTAATTCTCACAGAATCAAACGAAACTTACACTGAATGTTCAAGATTACAAATAAATGACATGTGCCAAACAATTTTAGAAGAAAATGTATACTGGCTGAGTAATGAGCATAGAAAGACGAGGAAACCAAGGTAGTACCATCCCCGACACCATGTGTGTTGTCCCATATATAGCTTTCTATGTGAGTGTTTGTTACTTTACCAAGACTCGGTCAAATTTATTATGATTTTGATGACTCCAGAACCTTGCAGTGCACACCAATACTTACATGCTACATGATAAACTGTTTCTGATCCTTTCACACCTTTTCTTTCACAATGCAATCGCATTACCAGTACTAAAGTTTAGCTTTAAAGGTATTATGTCCCTTTTGCAGCCAACCTCAAATGCTGTAGAACTTTGCAGGAATTATGAATATGTCATGTGGTCTATGTCCTATCTGTGAAATTTAAACTTAAGCAGTGTCCTCATATTCAAATTATGCAAGGAAACCCGTTTACTTGCTAGACTTCACTGTCAGACTCGGACATTATTGAGTGACTGACTGGCTTTTTTTCTTCTTTGGTAATAACATACATAAAAAGAGTTGTAAAGGGTACATGAACATTTGTCTACATCAATAACCCACTTCTTGTGATGGCCAAGATTAAACTGATTGAATCTTTGCGCAGCATAAAACGTATGACCATTCGGCACAATTGTCTGAAAATCAAGACTATTACTTTTGGGCTCTAGACCTATAGCCCTAAAGTTGATTTGACAACTAATAGTCATTATTTTCCCACTTGAAGACATTTTCAAGCCCACCTTTTTTAGGGAAGTTCTAAATTAGTAATATCTTTCAAATGCAGTTGGAATTTAACTTTTTCATTTTTTTGGCCTGCAAATGGGACATAGGGTCTAGGTCTAGTACCTTTAACTTGTCTTTGTGAAGTTTTTCATATTCGTATTTCATTCAGTTTCATTTTGTCTATGACTATGAATATGATGATGTTTGATAATGATATTAAGTATTAATAATAATATTAAATATTAATAATAATGGTCTTCTCGTAAGGGCACTGGCACTGGCACAGCCATCGAGTGTAGGCGCGAACGGGCAGATATGATTCAGGTTTTTAAGTTATTGAATGTTTTGGAAGACTTTGAGTTTGATAATGCTGCATGCTTTATTCTTACTGATCAAGTCACTCGAGGACACAAGTTAAAGTTCCATAACTAGAGGAGATGAGGCAAAAAGTTACATTCTTTTAGTCAAAGGCTAGTTAATACTTTGAATGACCTTTCTGCTAACATTGTTGCGGCATCTGCTGCTGCTGTTGCTAACTACTGCTGGTGCTACTGCTACTACTGGTAGTGGACCCTAGTAGACCTACTTAACTTATACTAATGATTTACTAATGATGATAATAGGTCTGAGTCATTACGGTTTTTGTGCTAAACGTTTAACCGTTAAATGTATATGGGCGGTTTCGTTTAACCGTTTTGAAAATACACATATTTTTACATGTGTGTAAATTATCAAGTATTCAGTCATTTTAATGAAGACATATTGTTTTTAGGTCTCCGTCGGGGCAACAAAGTCTTGCCGATAATTATTGTTTTTAGATCTCCTTCAGGGCAACAAAGTCTTGCCAATAATTATTGTTTTTAGCTCTCCGTAGGGGCAACAAAGTCTTGCCGATAATTTTTGTTTTTAGATCTCTGTAGCGCCAACGAAGTCTTACCGGTAATTATTATTATTCGTTGCCCCTAATAAAAAAAATTATTGTTTTTTTGTCAAACCCTGTATTTCAAGTATTTGTTATGATTTTTTCACTTAATTATTTCACTTAATTATTTCCCTTAACTATTTTTTTAACTTTGAACAATTCTCATTTTTGTCATATTTAAGGTACAAACCGCAAATTTATTCTGAGATGTTAGTTGATTTTTCTATTTGATGTGTTTGCAATGTCGTGTGTGCGTCAGTTATGTGTGAAGTGCGTCACCTGTTTAAAGCACGTAATATTACGTATTGACTTTGGCATTTAACTTAAGTTGCGCTATGTTGCGCTACATTAATTAGGCCTTCTCGCACTTAAATTTGAAGCCACTCGAGCAGATCGGCCAATGAGGGTGTGTAAACTCACTGTACAGCGCTCAATGCGCAAAGTTCTTTGT